CCGGGATAACTTTCTTCTGAGACTGAACCATCCTGGGCCAAAAAATAAGTACCTGTTTCACATCATTTTATTGTGCTTTTACTGCGCGGCATTTGTTGTTGTGCATCTATACAGGGTAATTCACAAGTCGTGACCAAAAATGAAACATCATACATAGGACCGCATTTTAAGGAGGTTCCTCTATGTAACATTTTTTCCTCGAGGGCGTCATTAAAAAGATACAGGGTGTTGAAGTGTGAATATAAAATACATTTTTTTAATATCTTCGAAACCGTCAGCTGTAGTATGTGGATTTTACCTAAATATTGTCCACATTCAAAAGTCTTTACTTAAAACTAAGCTGCAACAGTGGAGTAGATACAGGGGATTAGTGGCATTATGTTTACAAATAAAAACAGTACGCCACTGTTTTTTTTTTCGAAATGCTCGATTTTTCGAATTTACGCGTTCATTTCTAAGACTTCGGCAATATGGAATTGCCAAACTTCCTAGAGTTAAAGGCCATGGTGTCCGGCATACCGTTCTAGAGAAACTGGATGCGATTAATTTGGCGTTGGATGATCCTAGTATTAGTACTTGGCGGATTGCAGCCCAGTTACCGTGTTCCCAAAGTCTTGCGTGGAGAATTCTAAATCGGAAAGCTTTATAGCCTTGCTATCGGCAAAATGTGCAATGTCTGCAATCCAGCAACGGCGAAATTTTTTTGAGTGGTTACTGCAAATGCATAATCAAAATACAGATTTATATGGTATATTTATTCAGTAAAATATTTGCTTTAGACAAAAGACAAGCCGTTGCTTACGGAAAAACAAAAGAAAATGCGATTAGCGTAGGCTAAGGAATGGACAATGTGGACGTACAAAGACTGGAAAATGATTGAAATTTGATGCTCTTGAGAGTGATTACCAGTCTCGGGTTATAAGAAACAAGAATGAAGCGTTTCATTAAGGCTTCCTAAAGAGAAAAGTAAAGTTTCCATCAGATTCATTTCAAACACGGAACTGTAAACGCAGCTAAATATCAAAATATCCTTGAAACCAATTTGATAGTGTCAATTCCAATTTTATCACCTGTTAGAAACTTTATTTATCAACAATGTTTTGTTAATATGATGAAAAAAATATTTTGTAACCTAAAAAAATAAACTCTTACATAAAATTAGATAATGTCCGAACTATTTTGTGTTAGAGCAAACTGTAGGAAATCGCCTTTGACTCCTCCACGTTCAAGTTAACTCATTGCTTTTTTAACTACCAATCCTGATGCTTATGTTAAAGAATTTGTTGAATGTACAGAGGGCTGATTCAGTGTTGTCTGTGATTTTTGTGTTTCTCATAAAGTGTGATACATTTTACAGCCGCGGAGATAGTAGAAAGATCGCATTGCTGTCCTCTTATGCAAACTTCCATCCTACGCTCCAGAGAAGCTTCACAGATGATTTGTTGACTCTCTCTGGACATGCGTCGTAATTGGGTTTCTCTCTTCATCCCGCAACGTCAACACGGATGTACTTCAGGAATCGGTCTTGGCTCCGACACTGTTCTTCTTACATATCAACGACCTCATTCCCTTTACGATCAATCCAGTGCACAGCATTACTGATGACAGCACATTACATGCAGGAATTTAGAGCGACAAGCCGATTAGGTGGAAAAAAGAAGACTAGCAGCGATTTCCTCTGTGTCGAGAGAACTGGAGGTTAGCACTGCTTGGGGTCGCAGCAATCTTGTACAGTTTAATGCTTCTAAAACACAGTGACGAACAAAAAGCGTCCTACCGGTTTCGATGAGTTTCGAGGTCTGCTAAAGAGCCAATCAATTCGCTGGTCGGAATTCAGATCACCAAGGACTTCATCTGGCACGAACACATCTCGTCAGTAGCGGCAAAGACTAGGGTATTTGTTTAGGGCTAAGAAGTACTTTTCTCACTCATACCTCCTCACTTTATACAAGGCCTAAATATGACCTAGCCCCGAGTATTGCTCACGCGTTTGGGGTGCTGCCGCCCCAACTACATTATTTATGCCCGATGCTGTGCAGAGCAGAGCTGACCTACTGATCGATGACCCTTCTCTAACATTCTCGGGACCCTTTCGGACCGGCGGGCCGTCGGCGATCTAGCTCTCTTCTACTGCTGCACCAACGAGCTCTCCTTCATGAATCCGCCGCGCGATGTGCCTGCCAGACAGATCCGCCTGACTACGACCTCCCATCCTAACCGTGCCGAACTTCGCGCATCAAAACAAAATGAAGCTTTTCCCAGTTCTACTAACCTTAGGCAGTTCAAAAACCGGATTAACAAACTTTCTTTGGAATCCTCATAGCAACCGCGGTGTTTTTGCATTTAGGATTCTGCTTGCGCCGCTGCTTCGGTAAAAATTGCAGCTCCAATGATTGTATTAACTCAAGGATAAGCTACGGAAATCGATCGAATACTCACGCACCTCTTACATAGTTTTTAATACCTATTTAGACTCAAACGCTCAATTTGGGATGATGGTGAAACATTGCATCGATTTGAAAAATCTCGGAAACTATTGATTTTTGATCATACAAGTATATGGCGAAATTCTAGGACCCCTACCGCACACTAGAAGGAATACGACGAGTTACCTAATGTTGGAATCATTGAAATTTTATAACGGATAACGGTAGTGAGTATACTTCAGATAAGGAAACATGTTAGGAAAGTTACTACCACTTGGTGCCACATGCCATACTGCTTCTGAAACATTAGCAGTTTGGCACGAATTTGCTCTTGGTCGAGTCATCTCCCGGTTTGGTGACCAGAATTGTCCGCTAGGCTCTAGCGAACCCCTTTGGACTTATGGCTATTGTCTGAAGTCACAAGTCAACAAGCCTGCAACCACCAAAGCATTGAAAGCTGAAATCACACGCTGTATCAACGAGACACCACGACATGTTATCACAAATTTTACTAAAAGAGTATGTGTGTCCTAGCGGAGCCTTGGCACCCCGACAGCCATTTACCTGATGTGTTGTTCCATACATAATTCCATAATAAATATATATAATAATCCAATAAATATATCATTTGTTTGTTACAATAGATCATGTTTTATATAACCTTGAAATATTACCTTTTAGGACATATCTTTAAAGATTTTGAAGCACATTTCGGAATCTTCAGTTTGCTGCCTCGGAGCTTGTACCTTAATAACGTATATACTAATAGTTTTGGCACAAAATTCAATGGCTTTAATTTTAACAAACACAAAAGAATATCATGTTGCACTTGGAAACAAAAGTTGACATTCATTTAATTTGAAGTTTTCGGATAAATTAAAAATAAGAAAAAGTATCTACAAGTAGGTTAGGCAGGTACTCAAAGCTAAAATCTGTTGAATATTCCACAATGAAAACATGTCACGCTTTTTAGAAACCCTGCACATCTGTGTGAATATAAGTAGATATCACACAGCCAAACTTGGAAAACTTTGAGCCCATGAGCACTTTTCTGTGAAATTACCATTCGAAGACTATTTCTTTCAGTTTTGAATTGTCTTAGAGTGAACTTTGCCGCACCTGTACGTTTAAACCAACTGTGAAAAATATAAATTAAAAAACGAAGGTTAATTTGACTTAGCTACCTTTCCTGCAGAAGTATTCGGAACAACGACGTAAAAGCAATTTCACTTGCACTGTACCTTTGCCAGGCCAGTTTTTTTACATCGTTCCCATTGGCAATATAACCAGGAATATTTCAAAGCGGAAGGAAATGTAATTTTTCGGTCTACGCGATTCCCAAGCGATCTATAATAACTTTTCCCTACGAATGGAATGACATTGGAATTAGCACAGGTATAGATTCATCGACTACCAACTACGAGTTCATCTTGTAGTGAAGCTCTTGCGCGGAAATATCTCTTGCGATATGCGAGAGGTGAGCACGTGACGAGCTTGAAAGACGATGGCGGGAATATTTCAAAACGGAAGGAAATATAATTTTTCGGTCGACGCAATTCCCAAGCGATGGACGTGATTTTGCAAATCTGTAAATTGATACCCACTTACATAATTAGATTTTACATCACATTACAATTTTGTAAAGTGTTTCTTTGTTCAAGTGTAAAACAAAATTTGCAACGATTTTTCTGAATTGTTTTTTAACACACTGATAGTTGGGAATTTATCCCAAAACATTTGGCTTGTTGAGAAGTCGATATTAACGTTAATATTCAATTGAAAATTCAAGGCGTTTATGCGTTTTTTATGCATATATCCATATAAATCATGGCCTCCTTAGAAAAAAACTAATACATAACATTACGTGTGATGGTATTTCGTTGATATTCCAATCTTTTATGCACTTGTGGGACATCCCTAGACTGTAAATTTTACACTCTTTTTGAAAAGCGAAAAATGCAATATGACGGCCATATAAAAAATTGATTATACTATATTACTTTTCTTATAAACATTTCCGAATAATGTCATATTTTGACAGCTGTCAAATTAACCGTTTTGGATTTACTGACAAAAAAACAAAATCCGCCATTTTGACATTATGACAGGAGCCGAGATCCCTGTATAGAGAGGCGAATCTGAGACACACTGTATACTTTGTATTTGTTATATATATATTATTATTACTATTATTGTTATTATTATATGAGGGAAAGAGTACAATAAGCAACCGTCATCCCACCCAAGGATCCAATCACGCTTCTAATCTATAGTTATTGGAAGAAACCCAGGTTGCTATAACATTTTTTCCACTAAAGCTGCAGGCGTTTCGTTTTTTCAGCAGACCTGTTATAGCCAAGTTCAAAATCATTCAACGCAATTTCATCCACGTATTTACGTCAATCATGAGCCAGTAGAACAATTTTCAAACAACATCTAGACGTTTTTACCTTCAAGGCTTTGTATATCGCATTTCTAATTCGGGTCATTTATGAAATGGGTATCTGGGATCGTAATCTCCAACAGAAGCTTTTTGATGGTCCTCTACTAAAAGATTGAATGATTAGGTTGAACTAAATTTATAACAAAAATTTATTTGTTATCAATATATATAAATTACACGACAGGATAGGAGTTGTAAAGAGCGATACCGCATGCGTTGACATTCCTCTGAATTCTGAAGTATCCATGCTCTCCCCAATCAACTCCCCAGGAGTTCTTCGCGATCCAGTAGTCAACTCCGTCTTCACTTCCATAACCAACAATCAGGATAGCGTGGTTCACGTCTTCTTCTGAATTGCTACATCCACTACTCGCATCGACGATTCCATGACTGTAGAAAGACAGGGTTGAACCATCGATCCCTGCAGAGACTGGTCCTTTGGACGCTGTAACAGGAAGAAGGCGAAACTATTAGTTCAATTACCAAGTCGGAAGGTTTTCGATCAGATGTAGAAGTAATACTTACACACAGCAGCAGTGACTTCTTTCTCGTCCTTGAGGTCAACGAATGACTTGATCTTAACTGCATATCCTTTGCGTCTGCACTGGCAGTCATAGGCTGTGTAAGGGTAGGATTCCTCAGTCTGAATGCCATGGTCCATGACATACTCGAAGGCATAGTCCATAAGTCCCCCTTCGCAGCCAAGGTTCTGGTATTTGCCTGTGGCACAGTCTACTAGTTCTTGAGCGCTCAAATCGATCAACGTTTTGTTTTTAAGGAACAACTGACCTTCGATGGATCCAACCTGACCGGAAAAACAGAATAGAGAGTTATGATCAGTTAGCCTCAGTAAAAAATTAACCGTATCGCTCATTGACTTCCGATGAGTCAAATAAGCTTAAAAGTTGAAAATGTTTCATGGCTCTTATAGGCTGAAAAAGTTATCAAGTGAAAAATTCATATTTTGTTTTCTAGAAGTGGAATTACCTAATAATACAGGTACTAGACGAAAATACCTCTGATTTGAGGAATAATTTTGAGGACTGGTTTTATTGCTGCAAGTTGTTCAAGGGGGTATTCAAAACATGGACGCATTAAATGGGTACACCAATTTTTGTGGGAAAACTTTTTATTCGACAATAAAGAATGAGAAAACGAATTTTTTGGGATTCAATCGAAAGTGTTGCCGGGAACGAAAATACCTCTCATATAGCGTTTTTTGGTATCTATTAGACCTACAAAATGAGACCAAGTGCAAAAAGATTCGACTAGTAGCGAAATTCATCAAATTCATGTGATTCGTACTTCTAAATGACCACAACAAAATTGGAGTAGATTGGTCAAGTAATTTTTTAGAATTTCTAATTGCTTATCCCAAAACACCTGTTTTCCGTCCATCACTACTAGTTTATTGAGCGATATACAGGGTTAGTTCAAAGGGAATTTTATAGCTAAATACACTAGTGTACTTTGCCGATATGAATCGCATACCATTCCGGAAGACAAATGTTATTTTTATGCAAAAAAGGATGGGTTATGTTTTTTCTTCTAAACCAATTAAGACATTTCGTATTTGTGAGTAATTCACAGCAAAAGATGATAGACACATCGACTTTGTCTTAAAATGTAAATGTTAAAATTTGTTCAATTACTCTCAAATACGAAATGTTTGAATTTGTTCAGAAGAAAAAAACGTAAACTTTGTTTTTCGCATAAAAATAACATTTATCTTCCAGAACAATTCGTTATTAATATGGGCAAGGTAAACACGTGAATATTGCTATTAAATGCTCTTTGAATGTAAGTAGATGTCTTATGGGGATTCGGTCTCAAAACTTCCAAAATCCGCCACCAGAGGCGCTGGCGTCGCGCGCCATTGACAGGTTGTTGGACGGAATCTGTAATCGAAATTCATGAGTTGGGGATTCCGCCGCTAGATGGCGCTGTCAAACCAAACGGAATCTGTGTGTCATTGGACACCTGTCATGCGTCATTGGGCATCTCACGCATAGATGGCGTTAAAACGTCATCTGTCATACGTCATTGGACACCTGTCATTGATGGGTTGGGCATCTCGCGCATAGATGGCGCCGATTTGTTTGGCGCTGTACAAACCTAACGGAATCTATGCGTCATTGGACAGCTGCCATTGATGGGTTGGGCATCTCGCGCATAGATGGCGCCGATGTCGCACCTGTCTGGTGTTGGCGTGGATTACGGGGGGGCAACGTGTATACAGGGGTGCATCGAAAAATAGTGGATCGATGGACCGACGGTATATCGTTAAATCGTATATAGCAAGGCGTGACCTAAATAGCGTGGTGGGCTCCTCTGGTCGGTCGGTCGGTCGGTCAGAATGTCTCATAACCTGTATACGATGTACTGTTATTATTATACAGGATGATACCGTTCAAAATGAAAATAGTATAATGGATATTTTATTGAAACATATAGTATATATAACAATAAGGTTGATTGGTGTGTGTGTGTGTGCCATGTTTTGAATACCCGCGCTTGAACAACTTGCAACAAGAAATTCCGACAATATTATTTCGCAAACCAGAGGTATTTTCAATAAAACTACATATCAGGGAGTACTTTAGATGTTGATACTAATCGACTCAAATCATTGTTCGACAACTGATTTGGTTCATGACAGACAAGAATCAAATTATGTATTTCACGGTTCAGTTCTGGTTGTTTTTTAATTTTTTCCCTAAACTTCAGGTAACCCAGGAAATATGTCTCTTATCCGTCCTCTGTTCAACACATCAGTAAAATCGTTAGAAAATTCTATATATGACATATTATTATAAAAGGTATAGGACCGTCCTGCGTTTGATTGAAAAATAGCATTGATTCGAGCCCTATCGGGTATATCAATTGAAAAATTATCAAGAAATTTAATGGTAGGGAATGATGCTGAGAAATAGTTGTTTGGAGACACAATGGTAATCAAGTCACCGTTTGTTGATTGGAAAATATGTTGTAAAGTGTATTGACGTAATTCTGTAGGAACATAATCGACAAGAAGTTCAGGCTGAGATGGGATAATCATTTCGTTTAAGTCTAGTTTCCATATAAACATATCATGTGCAATATATAATCGGTAATTTGAAAACTCTGGAGCAATAGCTAAAAACATAAAATCTGGAATAATATCACACAAATTTTTGAGGATCGGCTGCTTACGAGTTGTAGATCTTATAGTTGTTGTTGTTTTTGGTATTGCTGATGCGGTGGTAGACGTTGGGATTGAATCATATTTGTTTTTTCTTCCATATAGATATTGTACTGCATTTATATCATCAACATCTAGACCACGAATCTCATGCTGATAGAAGGCAAACATAATAGCATTCGGAGAAGCACTATGTGCTATGCCGAGAGCATGTCCAATTTCATGAACCAACACCTGATAGAGAATGATGTCAAAAATCTCAGATAGCAAATATAAATTCGTTTACCCCCCAATCAAAATCTTGACTGAAAAAAAATTAGGCAGCAAATATACAATAATCATACACGAATTTACTATATTTCTAAATTTCTACTCTCATGTGCAACTTGTAATTGGAATTTCCGCCGGACAAACGATACATTCATGTATTACTAAGAAATTATATAAAAAATACTGCAACCGCAATGAATGTTGTTTTCTCGATAAAAATGGTACTGAGAATATGATGCATATAATATGCATATTTACGATACAATTATCTCATGCACGCGTGTGTTATCTCAACCACGTATTTATATTTAGCGAGCGCATGCAATAGTCATCATTGTTTCACACTTAACGCACAACGCTGCAAGCTGGAACAACGGCCGCAGTACAATAGTGCTTCGAGAGAGACGAGATAGCGAAAATTTTAAAAAAAGTAAGTGCTATTTTATTTAATATTTTTCTTTTTTATGTCTCTAAGTGCAACTGTTTTTTCGTGTTATGCTTCAAAATAGTTAGACGACTCAATTTTTTTTATAGATGGATTTATCAAAAATTAATGCTGCGTCTTCGATTGTAGACCGCAAACCTATCAGAAAATTAAAGGACCTACCAGTCGGGACACCATTTGCAATCCAAGCAGCTAAAGTGGTCAAGTCGAAATTTGGGGAAGCCGTGCTACTAGATTTAGGACCGGAAGTGCTATTTCTACCACAGCGGGTGACGGAAACGTACCAGCCGGTCATCGACGAACTTTTTCACGGAAAATACTCGATCATCTTCCAAGGGGAAGTGGACGTAGGGAAAAGCCGACCGCTAGCATCATTCAAAATAGTGGAAAATTAACAAAGCAGAGAACAGGAGGAGGAGGACAGGGTGAGCATTTTTATATATTTTTGAGTAATGTGTTTGCTTGAAAAAAAAAATGTCGTCTTTTCAAATGTCTTCAAATAAGGTTAAAAAGATCATCAAACAAACAGACGGTGTTCTACTATCAATTGTTAGTCTACGGAAAATTTTATTTGATAATTTTACAATCAGAGACGCGGAAGTGTGGCTGAAACGAATAGAAAAACAAATTAGATTATGTAAACGGGTAATTCGTAGTAGAAGGCAAAATAAATTATCTGTAGGGACCTGTAGAAAAGTAGAAACAAATTTGGGGCATTTTAAACATTTTAGAAAGTTGATTTTAACTAGACATATTGGGGCAGGACTTCACTTAACATTGGGTCAGAGGGTTAGATGGGAAAATGTAGAATCGAGCTTTCAAAGTAGAATAAAAACCGGTTCCATAGCTAATTTGCGTCATAAGGACTTGAATCAATTTTTAGCAGATTGTGTAGTTGTTTTTAAAAGGAAAATTAGGAATATTTTGAACACCCATTGTGCGCTCAAAGTAAATACAACATTTTGCGGGGAGTTTATTAGGAAATCGGGGGATAATGAAATTTTGGGAATTAAATATATTAATACTAAAAATCATATTATTGATACATCAACTCAAATAGACGAGTGGTTTAAGATATATGTGAAAGATAAACTTTTAAACGAATTATCGGAATTTGCTGAAAAAGATTCGGGATTTGCGTTAAATAAAATTATTTCCTTAGTTGTTAATATCAGTAAATATCAATTGGGAAACGGTTCATCTTATATTAGACTACCAGAACCGATTATAAGGAAAAATGCTTGTATAAACATTAAAAATATAGATCAAAATTGCTTTTACTGGGCCATTGTAAGCGCTCTTCGGACTCCTAGCAAAAAAAGACATGCAGAACTAACCTCCTCATATCCACACTTTACTGACGTTTTACAAACAGAAAATTTAGATAGTCCTATGCTGCTAACAAAAATTTCAAAATTTGAAAAGATGAATAACATTTCAGTCAATGTTTACGCTTTAGAATTGATCGAAACAGAAAAAAAATCATTTTACATAGTAGTACCAGCAAGATTAACGGAAAATAAACGGGATACGCATGTTAATTTACTTTTAGCTCAAAATAAATATTATCCGCGTTTAAATGATTATGATGCTCCTCCACCAGCGCCAGCAAATGAAGATAATGATTCAATCGATGAAATTAAATATCACTATTGTTGGATTAAAAATCTTTCGCGTCTTATTAGTAGCCAGTTAAATAAACATCGTGAGAAAAAATTTATTTGCGATAGATGTCTGAACTATTTCCATCAGCAAAATAAATTAGTTGAACATGAAAAACTGTGTTCTAAATTTAATAAATATAAAATTAACCTTCCTAAAGAGAGCTGCGTTGAATTTAAAAACTTTACATACCAACAAAATACTCCTTTTGTTGTTTATGCAGATTTTGAATGTCAATTAGAAAATCATAAAGAAAGTAGCGTCGTAAATTTAACTAAAACCATAAAATATCAAAAACACGTTCCGTATAGTGCTGGTTTCTATGTAAAATGCAGCTATGATGATAGCCTTTCTTATTTCGAGAGCTTTCGAGGTGCAGATTGTATGGATTGGTTTGCAAATCGTATGGCTGGTGTTGCGCAATTTGTAAACTCAAAAATAAAAAC